CAGAGTCTTATCTTTTGTGATGCCAGGCCAGTTCTTCAGGAAGTATCTTGCTAGATTTGCAGCTCCCTTTTTCCTTCTTTATTCTTTTTTTGGGGCAGGAAAGTGTTGAATGCCTATTGTCTACTACCCGCCCCCCCACCCCATGCCAATATGTTAAAAACTAGAAGAAATATTAGCCCAAACCCATTTTGCAGTGTGTGACCCAGTGGACAGGGCCAGGGATCAAGGATATGATTCATCCCGGGTAATTGTGAAAACAAAAGCTCACTTTGTGAATTTGAACGTGGATCCCCAGGATGATTCCCAGGACCCCGGTGGAAAGGATGGAAGAAGTGCAGGAAGGAACTTTCCTTCCCAGGAGTTCATTTATCATGCCCAACCTGACACGCAGCATTCCAGCGTACTGCAGCCGTTTCGGTTTTCCCTTACGCTTCCCACTGTTTCTTACTCCGAAGAAACTCCTCACACAGGCCACAAGTGAAGTATTTATAAAATTTAGAACTTCTCACATTGTTTCAATAAAGAATGTATTCCCATTCTGAAGGCACTGTGAAAGTTAGAAGTTGAAAACTCTAGACCCAACATGTCTGCACTGGTGTAGGCCGATGACCTTGTATTCTTTATTGGTGCTTTTGGCAAATGCATACGTCTCAAGTAAATTACTCAAGAAAAGTAAATCTAATAGTGCTACTAAATTTTTAAATGAAAAAGTCCCTAAGTGTCTAATACTATCCTGACCAAGGATAATCTGTTTTAAAAAACAATCCTCTTGAGATCATTGTCTCGTTTTATTTGGGTTTGACTGGGGTAAGAGAGCACGTAATGACAAAAGGTACACAACTGTCTTCATACGCATTTTTCTTCCTTCTATAAGAGTAAACATTTCTAATATGTTTGGCCTGGAATTTTCTTTGTTGGGGTGTTAAAATTGAAGGTAGGAAGTAAGAAATGAAAAAAGAATTGTTTTTCAATAAAGGAAAAAAATAAACAAATGGGACTATAGCAAATTAAAAGCTTCACATGGCCAAAGAGACCATCATGAAAATGAAAAAGGGAACTGACTGTATGGGAGAACGTATTTGCTGTTGATACATCGGACAAGGGTTTGATCTCCAAAATATATAAAAAACTCACATGACTCAACACCAGGAAGATAAACAATCCAATTTTAAAAAGGACAAAGGACTTGAACAGATACTTTTCCAAGGAGGACATACAGAGGGCCCATAGACATATGAAAAGATGCCCAACATCACTAGCCACGAGAGAGATGCAAATTAAAACCTCAGTGTGATATCACGTCACACTGGTCAGAATGGCTATTGTTAGTAAATCAACAAACAGCGAGTCCTGGAGAGGACATGGAGAAAGGGGAACCCTAGTGCACTGTTGGTGGGAATGCAGACTGGTGCAGCCGCTATGGAGAACAGTGTGGAATTTCCTCAGAAAACTAAAAATGGAACTGCCTTTTGACCCAGCAATTCCACTGCTGGGTTTATACCCTAACCCTGAAACACCAATTCAAAAGAACCTGTGTACCCCAATGTTTGTAGCAGCACAATTCACAATAGCCAAGTGCTGGAAACAGCCTCAGTGTCCATCAGTAGATGATCAGATGGAAAAACTGGAACATTTATTTACACAATGGAATACTATGCAGCAGAAAGAAGGAACTCCTGCCTTTTGTGATAGCATGGGTGGAACTGGAGAAAATTATGACACGTGAAGTAAGACAGTCGGTGAAAGACAAATACGGTGTGATCTCACATATAAGAGGAATCTGATGAAAAAAATCAGCTAACAAGCAAAATAGAACCAGAGGCATGGAAACATGGAACAGACTAACAGCAGCCAGAGGGTCCCCACACATTCAACAAGGGAAGTATGTTGTTGTAATTGAGGAAAGAAGAGGAGGGAACTACTCAAAGAACATGAATGAATGAATGACCCATGGACATGGACAGTGGTGTGGGGATCGATTGTGGGAGTGGGCTGGGTGGAAGAGGGCAAAGGGGGAAAATTGGGACAACTGTAATAGAATAACAATAATAATTTTAAAATAATAATAATTGTTTCCAACAAATGTATATTTGTGAGTTACGACCAGGACATGTATACCCTTGCCAATATCTCTTCTCTTGCCAGTCAGGGTTAATACTTGGGGTGCTGAGCTATTTCCCAGGAGGCAAAGAGACTGAGGGGGAGGGGATTATGACTCCTGAAAAGGTCTGAGCTCTTTACTTCTTGTTCCGTTGGTTACTTCAGTGGCAGCCTGCACAGCCATTCAAAATAGAGTTTTTCCCATGTGAACCTGGTGGAATTGTGGATCAGTTACCCGCATTTCAATGTGGACTTCTCCAATACCGCACTTGATATGCTTTGAAAGCAAGAATAGATCACACCTTTCATATACTACATTTTTCACTTATTCAGTTTCTCATTGCTTTATTCCTTCCACAAATAATTACTGGGAACATTATGCTGGTGACAGACACAATGGTAGTAATAATAATAATAAAATAGAAGTTATCTACTTTCTATTCATTTGAAATTAATATTATAATGCCATCAATTTTGATAGGATAAATTATTATATAAATAGTTTTTTGCTGAAATAATTCCAGCATTGATGGTGTCCATCAATACTAAGACTTTTAAGTTAAAAATGAATTAAAATTGCTACATTGTGTCAATTAAAGGAATTCAATATAACAGTATTTCCTAATAGAATAACAAAACTCAATATTATAGCTGTTATGAAAAAAAAGAAAAAATTCAGTCCTAGTTGTTTCCTCCTCCTCAACTATCAGTATCATTTTCCACCTTTAATGGTGCCTCCTGAAAACCTCCCATCTGATCCAGTTTTACCTTAAGGATAAATCATACGGAGGTGACAACAAAAAGTCTAACGTCAAGCTGGAAGGAGATGCTATCATGAGAAAGGACTATACTTGAAAGAATTTTTAGAGTTTTATAAGTATCACAAGTATATTTATGTTGTTGTACTTAAGCCTTATGGTTTGGGTTTGGATTCTCTCTCATGAAGGGAATATGTAGTACATTCCTCTGTCTGATGTGCCGTGAAACACAAACATGAATGGAACACTTGCTCTCTGTTAAGCTGGACTACTAGCAGGGAAGCTCCTTCAGTGCAAGAGCTCGGTCCGTTTCCTGACTGTGTCCCCAGGTCCATGCCCAGCAGAGTTCTGGACTCAGCGGTTACTCATGGAGCGTGTTGATGTCATAGCTCTCCAATTACCTGCATTTATATGGTACCCTATAGCTTTCAAAGCATTTTCACTTAGGTTGTTTTTTTGAGCTTTGACAATTCTGTGAGAAAGGTAGAACAGGTGTTTTAGTCAGTGAATAAAGTTGCAGTTCAAGTGGGTTATGGCACACCCAGGATAAGAGGAGGGAGACTAGGTCATAATAGTTCACTGGGTTCTTTTAATATCAATTATTATCATCCAATAAATAGTTACTGTTATAGACCAGTCACTGTGCAAAATATTTTAACCGAGTTATCTTACTTAACTCCTACAACAACCCCATGATATAGAACTAGTTTTATCCCCATTTTAGGGATGAAGAAAATGAGGCCCAACAAAGTTGGGTAACTCGTGCGAGGCAACACAGCGTCAGCGCTGGGGTTTAGGCTCAAGCAATGTGAGGTCACAGCCTAAGTGCTCAGTGTGGCTGACACACTGCTCTCCAGTTTTTAGGATGTCCCTCTAAAAGGTTTGTCCGTATAAACATGACTCAAATAACTGCCATGACTTCATTAAATTATTTGCTATTGTTATAGTAGATGTTTTTGAATGTTTCTATAAGTTGATTAGCCAGAGATGATTGTTGTTACAGGTTAGACGATAAAAGAGAAAAAGAAAAGAAATACAGAATAAGGAAGACAAGGTGTCAAGATTAGAAGAGGGGCAGGGTATCATTCCTCTGTCACAGAATAAGACACCTCCCAGGTGATAGAGAAGGAGTCTGAAAAAAATGTGTGTAATACAGCTGAGTGTGGGTCAGGTCTTGTAAGATTCTCCAGTCAGAGACGAGCCAACCACTGCCAACCAAGTGGAATGATCACAGCGGGGGGACCCTCACTGGCGCCCAGCAACGTGGCTCTTTAATGGACCTTCCCACCCGCCCACACCAGTGTGAGTGTTGGGAAGCTCTGTCTCCAGCTGGAGCTCTCCTCAACTGCTTAGTAAAGAATGCACCTCACCCTGACTCACTGTCCAGGGTAGCTGAGAACCACGAAACTTCAAGAGAGCAGAAGCCTAGAGATGGTTCTGCTACCGATAAGCTGCAGAAATTGAGAGTATGGGGACCATTTATGTGGGGCAGGTACATTCAAATCAACATTGTTCTAAGTGGAGTTCCACTTACATTTGCAAAACAGTGTAATAATGAAGTAAGAAAGGTACAATGAAATCATCGACATGATTTATAATCTACAAAAAGCAAAGGCTAACTGTCACAATAATAATGGAGAGATCACTGGACCCAGGCTTACCATCTTGGCAAATAATATGCTGAGGTGGCCTTGGGCAAGTCACGTCACCTCTAAATTGTCATTGCCATGTTGGTCATGTTCTGTAGTTTGGATTTTAGATCACACCTCATCATAACTAGGATAAATAAGTAATTCATCAAATACTTTAAAAATAATTTTCAAGTACAGCGATACCTTGGTACCAGTCGTTAATTCATTCCGGAACTCGTGATGAGTGCTGAAACCAACGAGTCCCAAGCAAGCGCCGAGTGCTGAAACATTTCTTTCTTGTCAAAATGCAAGGAGTACAGGGTTTGACAAGTCCTGGAGCTGACGAGTACCATGGTATGACTGTACGTGAATTGAAATGCGTGTCTGATGTATAATGCACACTTATTTAACATTCATTCTGCACCCATTGTCATGTTGGCACTTGTACTGAACCTTATTCTCACTTAACACCCACAGTCATCTTTCCTCACTCAAATTTTTTTTTCCCTAGAGCAAATTGGCCAGGAGATGTTGGAAAACCTCAGCCATGACAGAGAAAAGATAAAGAGAGCACGGGAAAGGGTAAGTAGAAGTGATACGACCTTCTCACAAATTCAGTAAGTGGTGAGACATAAAGCCAAAGGTCTTGGGCACATGCACAGAGTCACAATGAGTTACATCTAAGGGTCGTGTGGATAAAAATAGCCGGGGTTGCAGAGGGGTGTCAAGTCTGGGGAGGGGAAGAACGGGTGCGGGATGGAGAAAGAATAAGCTGGCCCTTTCCGTCCTCATCCTGACATGCCCCCTCGAACTTGGTCAGCCACTGAGAATTTGCTTTTATATCCAGTTCAAGTATCCAGTTTAAAGCTCCTGGGATTATCTATCACGTGTCACTTTTCTAAATCTAAGAATTTCCAGAGATTGTACTGGTGTCAAAAATGTATTTCCATGCATTTTTTTTAATGACTTGAACTTTCCGTCGTGAAAGAAAATTATTGTTTGCCAGTGCACTTTAAAAATAACACAGTTGCCTGAAGTGTGGTTCTGTTGTGTGCTAATGCTGCTCGTCTTCTCCTAGCTGCGGGAGACAGATGCCAACTTGGGGAAAAGCTCCAGGGTTCTGACGGGGATGTTGAGAAGGTAAGAGCAAGGTAGGGACCCATTTTTCTCTCTCTCCCTTTTTCTACACTGTATTTTCTCATCTCGTTGCAACCGGGCATTTTTCAAGCATGCAAGCTTCTGCTTTTAGGACGCCTGTGTCAAGACCCTTTGGAAATGACAGAACACTGGTGTTAACTCTTGTTTGGACAGGGACACACACCGAGTACCTTAGATTAGAGGGAAAGTCTGAGCTGGGGGGGATACCTCAAGCTATGGGAAAAAATTAGGGTTAGACATGAAGTATTCTTTCATAGCCTGGGGAAGGCCCCATGGCAGCAGCCGAGCAATTTTATTTTCTATTTTGGGAGTCTCTTGCTCAGAGAGGGGATGCAGGGCTGCGGTGCCAGGAGCCCTCTGGTCCTCGCTTTGCGCCGTGCTGCCTTTGTTTCCGTTTCTGTTTTAAGAGATGCTTTTGGGGGGAAACATCTAGACTTTATGTGTACTTAAAGATGGCTTTTAAAATTGAAAGGATATCTGAATAATCTGAATTCACATGGGCGAGCAAACCAATGTTAATGTTGTGTATGAACCTTTGATTGATGGAGAATACTTGGGAGCAATTGCAAGTAAATGACTGATTTTAGGTAATATTCTATACTCTTATCTTTTTCAGAGGGGAGTGGGAAATGTTTGCATTGGTCTGAAAATTGGAGTCGTTTTTTTATTTAGGTGCCCTATTCAGCATGTAATTATTTTACGTTCAGAATCTACCAAATAAGAGTGTTATCTAGGGTAACCCTCAGTTTGGGACTGTGGATAGAAGTGTGAATTGGGGGGTGTTGACAATTGCCTTTAGAACAGCTTGGTTGGAATTAGAGAGAAGAGAACCTTTCGTTCTCATTGATACTCCAGGGACAACTATTTGAAAATAAGTCTTCTCTGATCATGTATCCACACGTAAAAACTTGCTAAAAGTGTGTTTGCTGTGGTAGAAATTGATTACGTAAGAACCAATGACAGGTCCAGTTGCTGATGTGGTTTCTCTATCGGGCTGGTCAGGGGCAAGTCTGAAGTTCAAGGACACTTCCAGGCAGTGCCGACCTAGCTCCGCATGCCCCTGCTTTTCCCGCCTGCACCGTGCCGATGCCGAACCGTACGCCAGCGAATTCTCTGATTAAGAGTAATATGTAAACGACCTAGAAAAACTCAAAATCGACAGAGAAGTGGCGACGGAAAGGGATGCTTCAGTGCCTGTAGACAATAAAAAGAAAAGAAGGAAACCACCCTGTCTGGCTTCCCTGGGAGGGCCCTGCCGTGTGAGCCGTAACAGCTCTTCCGCGTATGTCTCCGTTTTGTCACATCTCATTAAAGAGTCCCCCTGCGTTATGTCAATTGAGCTGTCCAGAAATCATTCATCATTTTTAGTGTAAAAAAAAATCATGCGGTTATTTAAATAATATCATATTAATGTTAAAGTTCAGCTGTCATTTAATGGTATGGCTTAATCAGATGTAGCATTTAGGAAAAATAGTTTATTCAGGCTGTATGTGGCTTTCAGGTTGGCAGACTCAAATCAGGATTTATGAGTTTCCAAACCAGTGTATTTCTGTCCGTGTTTCTGCTTGATGTACCTCACCCTTTTGTGCAGGGCACAGCAGACAGTTATTTCAACAAATAAAGCATCCCCTCATATTGCGTTTGAATAAATTTGCAAGTCATTTAGAGAGGGTGAAGCACAAACCAGCTCTGCAACCTCTGACGGGGCTTTCTGTAGGGAAATCGTCCTAACGCGGTTGTTTCAAAAGCCCACAGAAGAAAATTACTCCGCTGAAATCTACTCGGGGTTCCCTTTGTAGGCAAATGCGGTCAATCACTGACTCATATCCTTGCGGGATCTGTCTAGAGCACGAACGGGAATAAAATTCCCCAGATGGACATCACCTTGCTGTGTCGGAGTCAAGGAAACCCTTAGAGCCACCCGTGCATATTGGCAACTGTGTCTTGTACTAGTTGCAACGGGAACCGTGGTGTAAGCCAAGATACCCAAGTACTTCAGTCAATACCGTCCCCTAACTGAGCCTCTGGAATGACACTCAGATGGCGGGTTTGTTTCAGTGTCTAAGAACCGTCCTCCATGGAGTACTATTTCTTTTGGAATTTGGAAAAGGCAAACACATTTCACCTACTTTGTTACTTCTTATTGCCTGGGGAAACGATCTCTAGGGAAGCGGAACCCGGGCTAATGTGCCGGTCTTTCACTCCAATGCTCCGATGTTGCTTCCTCTGCTCTCTCCTCCCGAGTTCCCTGGCGTTCACTTCCCGCTCCGCTGAGGTTTCATTCCAGAAGGCACGTTCTCTCACCAGAACTGCTCGGCTCCATGGTGCATCAACAGGTGCTTCTGATTTAGGAAAAGTTATAACACGGAACAGTGGGCTCATCTGTCACCTTCACAGATGTATAAAAGAAATGAAAGTCCTCTTTGTGCAGCGTAACTGCGTACTTGCATACATCATCAGCTCACTTACTTCCACGTGATACATTCTGTATGACTGAGAATAGGTAAATATTCTCTAAGGCCCCAAACCAAGGAATTCCTTTATTTGAAAGGATGATTGCTGGTTACTTTAATTGTTTAAACTTAGGTTGTTTTTAAATTTGTCAAATGCACAGAAGGGGGCATGCTGCGGCCCCGTAGGTGGCTCATTTCACTTGTTTGGATCAGTCTGCTGTGAAGACAGGTAAAGCGGAAGCTCCTTCAGTGCCAAAGTCCGTGCGTGCGCCCACCTGATTACCTGCAGACCTGGCCAAAGACAGACAGGAAGTAAAATGAGTGATGGCCACTACCGTTTCTGTGTTTTCATCTTTTATTCACTTCAAATGAGGTTTAAAAAAATCTATTTCCTTCCTTTCTTCCTTTTTTTTTGGCTTATTCACCTTCTAGTAAATATTTAATACCTGTGTACAAGGCCTTGGGGGTCCTTGGAGGAAGCCGATTGGCTTTTTGCCTTCAGAGTGCTTCAGTCTAATAAAGAATATGCGCCTCCAACGTGCTATGAGAATTCATAGATTATGTAATTCTCAAGGAGGCTGTTGAGGATTCTGCAATTCCATGATTCTTTACTGGTCATTAAAAAGGGGGCCAGGACCCCTGGCTTGGTGGCTCAGCTGTTTGGAGCATCATCCTGCACACCAGAAGGTTGCAGGTTCCATCCCCAGTCAGGGTGCATATGGGAGGCTGCCGATCAATGTTTCTCTCTCTGTCTCTCTGTCTCTCTCTGTCTCTCTCTGTCTCTCTCTCTCTCTCTCTCCCCCCCCTCCCCCTTTCCCCCTCTTCCTTCCTCTCTCCCCCAACCTTCCTCTACCTCTAAAATCAATAAACATATCCTTGGGTGAGGATTAAAAAATAAGGTGTCAGAAAAACAACTAACCAAGAGAAAATATGATTTCAATAGCTATAAAACCTGTATGTTTGGGGAAAACAGAGAACTAGAGGATGATAAGGAATCATAACAGAAACAAGGTTTGAAAAGGACTCAAGTGTGCAGGAACTATTGAGACATCTAGTTTAGTGAGATATAGCAACTGATTCAACCCACGTACATCAATAAGTTATCCTTTGTGTAACTACATGATATTACCAAAAGAGAAAACAAAGAAAATGGGTCCGTTCAAAATCGTCACAGTAAAACTTGCCACCAGAATACACATAGAGCCGGTTTCCCGTAGTTTTCTTCCGTCTTGACACCGACAGCGCGCTACCCAGGGACGAGCCCTTCGCTTCCTGGCTGGTAGGCAGGGTTTGAGTAAAGCAGTATTTCAGGTAATAATGAAAATGCTCATGAAACAAATGACCATTCGTGTGGTGACTGGAGCCAAGAAGTGGATTTCTCATTGACTTTCACAAAATTTGATTATTTGATGGGCTGCCTTAAAGTGTCACAAGCAGCACCGAGAAGCTTAAATGTCGCTCTTCATATATTTGCATGTGTGTTCACGTGTGTGTGTTCTTCTCTCCGCATTTGACTGGGAAGTCTGATTAGACGAAACGTTGCTGGCAAGCAGTGGACATGAAAATAGATGTTTTCAAGATTTTTAGTTAGAAAACAAAGGACACCGTGACTCTTTCTTTTTAGCTCTAAAGAGTGAATAATTGATCAGTAATCACATATTTGTTTCCAGGGGTGCCTGAGGGATTCCTTCGGAATGTAACCAAGTTATAGTTTGGGATCTCCCCTGGCATAAATTAGGAGGATATTTTAATAAATGTATGTTGGCTCATTGACTGCATGTATACAGGGTCCAGCACATAACGCCCTCTTTTATTACAAAATCTTTTGTTCCAAAATCATGAGCATGTAATTCTGTAACATAATACCACACTCAAGCACACGATATGACATTTTAGGTGAGATGTTCAAATTGCCATCCATCTTGTGCGAGACATTCATGTACCCAAGTGGGCCTTACTCCTGCCGGGCCCTGTGTATGCTGGCAAAAGACTTACAAAACGAAATGGCATATGTGATATTTTTTTTTAAATATCTTTTTTGTACGGTTACCTTAATATCAAACACTTTTCTCTCTCTCCCACATTACCCACGTCTGCCCCTACTGTTTCCACAATTCTTTAAAAAATCAGAATCTGTCCTTCAAAAAGCGAGCCCTGCTTTACCCTCCCACCATCACATAGTCACTTCTTTCCGTAGCACGTAGTTGGCGAGAGGTCTTCGCCACAGACCTGTAATGGAAACAAAGCAGGTGGTGTCGCGTGCGGTAGACCCAGCTGCCGTCGTCCGCCCATTGCTATTTCACACGTGGGATTCTTGTCAGAGCTACTCCTGACTCAGTTCAGGGAGTAATTGCCACCTATCGTAGCTCCCCCATCTCGCATTTGAAACATGGTTCTGTTGCTGTGGTCGGGTGACAGGTAGAACATCTGGGAACATTAAATATACTGTCAGAATGATTCCTAAGGGTAAGAATACCAGAAATACCAATGCCAGATCTATAGGCAACAGAAATATAAATTTTTTAAATG